AGCTGGTGAGTATATAAGCATTTAGTTTTGGTGGAAGAGGTTCTTTGATTCTCTTGAAAAGTGTTCTTCAATAAAATCCCATATTTTCTTATGAAAAGTAGTGTTGAAAGAGTATCTATTAGTAGAAGATAATTCATTAATTTTAGAAATGCCAGTGTTATCCTGGGAAAATCCCATATTTTCCCTAAAAACAAGTTATCCGCCCTAGAGGTAGAGATGTAAGTTTAGAAATCCCTGATTACTATTAGTGTATATATAAAGGTAGTTTTATTACTAAAAATAAAACTAGTGAAGAGTAGAGTCCGTAAACCAAAGTTAGTTTATACTTATTTTGCGAGTCGTATAACCATACTTGATATGACCTAGAGAGCTTTATAATGTTCTTCGGGCGTTAAGCTAAATGACATTTGTTCACCCCAGGCGTGCCCGCCTAACTGTAGCTAGCAATTCAGGTGTGGAATTGTCAATCCCGAATAGATCTATTCACAAATCTCACGCTCTCCTTCGAGGAGACTCTGGTTATACTAAAAGGATTTATCCCTGTACACCTAAGGGTACAGTATTGAAGTATAGCCTTACAATTATGTATAATCTAGTTTACCAGCTAGAGACAGTAAAATACAGTATTTATCCTTGGATAAATGCACTTTATAATCCTGATAAAAGATATAACATAAACTAAATCTGCGATACTTTATACATATTTATCCATGAAATCTGAGTTAGTAGAGACTGCCTAGAGGGTTATCCCAAACTATACCCATTATAGTTTATTAGAATTGTTATGGAAAATGCTTTGTAAAAACCTTTCTGAAAGCTATGTAGTTGAAATTCCAAAATAAAGTTTCCCTTATTCTCAACATATTACAAAAAGGGATAAAGTATATGAATATGTTATTAAACGTGGAAATCGTTGGGCTGTATTAACAGGTTTAAAACTTAATAAAATACTTTGAGTTTAGCTTGTATTCCCCCCCCCCCTGAAAACATTAAAAACACGGAAAATGTAGGGGTATGAACTCACAGTTTGACGTGGGATTTGGATGTAGGTCGATAGTAATGTTGAGTGTCAATTGAAGCCTCGGACACAATTGGATCCTATTTAACATATGGTTGCACATACATGTATTAGGTAAAGGCATAACACTATTTGTTATGGAAGGAAACCATCTTAGGGACTAGGAAACACTTGAAACTAAGTGTTAGAATCACATGTGATTGAGGTGGGGAGTTTGCGGCCAAATAGGGTTTACAGCCCAAGAGCTTGCGGCCAAAGTGTTTGCGGTCCATGGGTTTACGGCCCATGGGTTTACGGTTTATGAGTTTACGGCCCATGGGTTTACGGCCCACGAGTTCACGGCCGTAAACACTTGATGAAGGATACGATTTTTGGTGTTTCAAGGTCATTTCTAGCCTCATGGAAATGTTCTAAGTCTCGTGCATAGCTAAAAGGGGAGTTTAAGGTCGATTCTTGACCATTTACTAGGGTATACGTCCAATGAAGAGTGTACGGCCGTACACAGGGTTTACGGCCGTAAACCCTTCGTTTTTCATGCATTTTGGGTCGATTTCTAGGTGAAAATGAAGGGTTTTTAATAGATACCAAGCATAGGAGATAGTTACTTACTATTAGGAAGCTTGGAATGAAGTTTTTAGCCACCAAGAACTAGTGTGTGTTCTTGGTGTTCTTGGTGAGAAAGAAGATCTAGACAAAGATGAGATTTAATTAGATAAAACATGAATTCATCACTAGAATAAGGATTTGCAACAACATGCAAGGTGGAAAAACACTTACATCTTGAAGATCTTGGAGAGAATTCGATGAATGTAGAGAGAGAGTAGAGAGAGGAAGTCCTTGGAGTGGTAATAGGATGAAATGAAGACTAAGTACCCTTTTTATAGGGTAGAGTTTTCGGCCAAGGGTGGGGTGGGGGTGTACGGCCGTAAACTCGAGTTTGCGGCCGTACACTTCTCTCGAAGGGGTGTTTGGCCCTGATGCTATGCTTTGACTTAGTAAACCTCGTTTTTGAACCCAAAACTTAATTGGACCGAGCTTAGAATATTTAATTAAGCTCAAAATAATGACGGCAAGAGCAGAAATAAATTCCAAATTGTTTTATTTTTAACGGTTTGAACGAAAGAAATTTCGGGTTGTCACATTAATGCATCCAAGAGTATGATGTTAACTGAGGATCCTCCATCGACGAGGATCCTTATGGCGAAGTGGTTGGCAATGTACAGAGTAATCACTAGTCCATCGTGGTGAGGATCCTGGACGTCCTGTCTATCCGCTTCGTCAAAGGTGATCTCCTTTTGGTTAGTGATTGTTGTGTTTTTCTATGGTCCATTTTCCTTCTCCGTTTTGGATACTTAGGCATGCCTTTTTTCCGCAGAGTAGGAGGTACCGCAAATGTCAGATCCTCCATAGATCATATTGATCACCTTGGCGTCAGTCGAGTGGGGGATCCTGGTCTTTCGAGGATCTTCTGAGGATGCTGGTCTTTTTCTTTGGATTTTTCCTTTCTTCTCCCAAGTATTTCTTTGAGGTATCCTTTGCCCAGGAGGTAGCTGATTTCCTTTCTTAGAGCTATGCAATCCTCCGTGACGTGACCAAAGTACTCATGATATGCACACCATTTGGACTTGTCCTTGCAAGCAGTGGATTTTTCTCCTTTCCTTGGCCACCTGGCTTTGTCTCCAAGATCCTACATGGCTAATATTACACCTGAAATGTCCACAGAAAAACAATAGTAAATAATTTTAGGGAAATCTTCTTCCTCCCCCTCATCTTCAAGGACATTAACCCTGTGATGGTCGGATTTGGAGTAAGGCTTTGACTTATAGGATCTTTGGGCCCAGGATCCGGCCTTCCAATTGGGGTGATCATAAGAGCTTGGTGGGTTGCTCCTTTTTTGGATCTCCTTGTCTTCTTCTAGTATTATGAATCTCAATTCCCTGCTCCTAACTTCATCCATTCTCCTACATGGTGTCATTACGAGATCTTCGTAGAAGGGAGAATCCTTCTTTAAGCCCATTTTAAAGGCTTCGACTATAGTTTCCATGTCGATGTTGGGGATGCTCAAAGCTTCCCTGCCAAACCTGTTCACAAAAGTCCTAAGGGATTCTTAGGATCCTGAACCACTCGATAAAGATCACTGGTGATCTTTTCGAATGTTCTACTGCAAGAAAACTGATTATTAAATAAATTAATCAAATGAGCAAATGATGTGATTCAATAAGGAGGAATGTTAAGGAGGCATTTTAGAGCGGATCCTGTGAGGGTGGAACCAAAACCCTTGCACATGCAGGCTTCTTTCAAGTGAGTGGGGATGGGAATAATCTCCACCCTCTCCGTATACTGTGCCACGTGTTCCATAGGATCAGTAGTTCCGTCGTAGGGCTTCATGTTGGGGGTCTGGATGAATTTTGGAACTTCGTTATCAGCTATCGCTAGAATGAAGATGGAGATCCTATGACTTGTGGGGGATACTTCTGGTACCGGTTGAACGACTCCGGGTACACTTGAGATCATCTGTCTTAGTTGTTGTAGCTCCTTAGCCATGATCAGGATTAAACTTGTGTCAAGGTCCATCGAGTTAGTTGTAAAATTATTATTATTGATAGAGTTACCAGGATCCTTGTTATTGGGAGTACCAAAGATTCCGTTAGGATCTTGAATCTCGCAACGGATTGTTGAGGATCCTAGGTTGTCAAAGTTCAGGATCTTGGGCTGCAAGACCGAGGGTACTGCCTCCTGAGGCTTGTGAATTTTCGTCCACATTCTCTCCACTTCCTTGAGAATCGTCATGTTATACTCTTGCTATTGTGCGACTTGTCACTCTAGCCTCTTCATCATAACAAAGATCTCGCTATTGGAAATCAACACAGGACGATCCTCGAGTCCCGAAGTGACCGGAGAGGTGTTCTTCTTCGTAGTTTCAGATACTTTCTTGGGTGCTCCAGCTGAAGGTGGTGGAAGGTTTTTAGAGGAAATGGGAGGAATCAAGGAGGAGGAGAGAGTCAATTGAGTAGACATGATTTTCTGAGGGATTTTGAACACCACGGCCCCACGGTGGGCACCAAATTGTTTTGGTCAAAATCGACTAAGTGAAAATCAACCAAAGTGTATGAGAGGCTACAATGTTGTTAATGAACTGATCAGTGAAATTAGAACAAGATGACACTAGTGGTTTACAAGGAAAGCCCTTGATCCTTGTTAGGATCTCCGACATAAAACCTAGGGAGGTGATAATGATCACATGCCTTGATGATTTTATTGATTAAAACGAATGATTACAGAGAAAATAGAATGAGTACGAGTATAAGTGCTAGTATTCGGCCAAAAAATCATGTGTAGTGTGATGAATACAAGTGTTTTATATAGTCAAAACCTAAGAACTAGAACTCCGAAAATTTCAGGATCCTCCGAGATCAACTTATAACCATTGCTTGACTTGGTCCTCCGGGTGTTTTTCATGGTTCTGACGACTATTCGTTGAGAGAGTGACTTTGACTGGTTATTTTTTGCACATGTGAGAAAGACAAAAGAATGTATGGCCGTTATAAATAATTAAATATATTATTCAGGGTCCTGGAGTTTATTCGGGATCCCGAGGTTCAAGGATCCTGAGCCTTTGAGGATCCTTAGACTCCAGGATCTCAAAGTAGTTCCGAGATCCTAGCCCTAACACTTATATTGTATCGAATGCACCTATTCAGAGAGATGATGCTTGACTTGATTACTACTTAAAAAAACTGCTATTTTTCTTCTAAACGCACATGAAAAAATGAAGCAACGAGAGAATAAAATAATTGCCGATGTACTACTTTTGAGGACGGATTACATAGTCTTAACATATTTTGCGTGGATCATGTTTTTGGTGATTTTCTTCCTAGAATGGAACATGGTGGAGTGATATTAGGTCCATCAGTTGTTGGGACAGTTTTCAACCTTTGCCAATGCAATATTCCCATTAAAAAGCTTAATGGTTTTTGAAACAATGGCAAACATCAGCCTTCTCTACTTTCTCTTTCTAGTCGGAGTAGAATTTGACATTGTAGTGATCTGGTACATTAACTGGAAAGCCATCTTAATTGCAACCGTTGGCGTGATTCTCCCATCCCTTATTGGAATCTCATTCTCCTTACTTTTACATCAAAGAACTCAATTCTTCAAACAAGGCACTTTCATATTGTTCCTTAGAGTAGCCCTCTTTGTCACAACATTTCCAATGTTTTCAAGAATTTTGGTGGAGCTCAAGTTTATTAACACAGAGCTTGGCCAGATCGTCATGTCATCAGCCCTGGTGAACGATATACGTGTATGGATTCTACTAGCAGTGGCTATCGCGTTAGCCGAAAATGAGAGTGTAAATTTAGCTACTCTTTGAGTGATTTTATCGAGTGCAGGGTTTATCTTGGTTATTAATTTTCTAGTTCGTCCATTGATTTCTTGGGTGATACAAAAGACCCCAGAAGGCGAAAGTGTTAGTGAGTTCTACATTTGTTTAATCTTAACTGCAGTTATGATCTCATGCTTCATAACAGATGCAATTGGTACCCACTTCGTTTTCGGTGCATTTATTTTTAGGTTGGTGATTCCAAATGGACCTTTTGGGGTTACACTTACTAAAATAGTAGAGGAATTCGTGTCAAGGATTTTGTTGCCACTTTTTTTCCATCATTGGGCTTAGAACTTCTATTGGTGTACTTGATGGTGCTAACACATGGGTATTTTGATTCTTTTCATAATACTTTCCAGTGTCGAAAAGGTTGGCGGAACTTTGATCATTGCTCTTCTCTATCATAAGCCAATTTATGATGCAGTTACACTTGTAATGCTCATGAACACCAAAGGCCTTATTGAGATAATTTTCCTCGATGTTGGCAAAGATTAAAAGACAATTTCGATATCTCTCTTAATTATCATCCTTAGATAATTTTCTATCACATGATTCATTCCTATAAGCAAATAAGTGTTTGTATTTTCTGTTGAGATTGTTCTCCTGAGAATCTTTTACCTCAACAGTTCCATCATATGCAACTTTCAGGGTATGGAGCACCTCCTTGGCAGAGATACATTTTTGGACAATATGATGGATCTCGTATGGAAGAGCATTTCCAAAGGTAGCACGAGCACGAACATCATGATTTATGAAGTTCTTGTCATCTTCGGACCAATGATGTGCAAGAGTATGGTTTGTCTCGATAGTTTTACCCTCTATTGTTTTAGTAGTAACGGGAACATGATGTCCTTTAGCAACGATGTCCACCGTGTTGTAATCCATAGTCTCTAACACCATTAGCACATTGTTTTTCCACATTGTAAAATTATTTTCATAGAATGTCAGAATCTTGTTTAATGATGATGCAGTGAATAATGATTTTAAAGAAGTCACCATTTCTTGTTGAAAGACATAGAACCCACTCTGATCCCAGTTGTTAGATCTATAATACGAACAAAAAGAAATTATAAAACAATAAAGAGCACAGAGGCTTGATTAATAACTTATTTCGATTAATAAAACTCTCACAAAGAGAGAATGCACAAAGCGGTAGGTTTTATAAAGAACCCTAGCACTACTTATATATAGGGAAAACTATCTAATATATGGAAATCCCTACAAATCAGGGATTTAAACAAAACTACACAATGATAATATGCTAATCGCTAAATGGTGGTTGTCGAGGCCAACAAAATAAATACCTTAAATCTTACACACTAAAATAGTGTATAGTAGTAAAGGGATCATATCCACGGAGATTGGTTCAAGTTGAAACTCTATGAAATTATCTTTGTAAAATACTTGTAAAATACCAATAAAAGTAAAATGGGTGTTGTAATCTTTTGGTGTTTTAAAGAAACTAAAGTTACACTAAGATTTGGAAATTGCAATAAAAAAAGTAAAAAGTTTGATTCAAATCAATGAGAAAAAGATGGTTGACATTGGAATTTTATCACTTTAACATTTGGTTAATAAACCATTAAAACTCAAGGTGCAATACTTGTAAAGAAATTTTAATTTGGCTATAATAATCCAATAAGCTTGTAATTACCTAGACTCTTCTTAGTTAATACAATGGCTAGAGAAACTCATAACATATTTTCTTCATGAAATTCATAGACCAATGAAGCAAATAATTTGAGAAAATCAACTAGCATTAAGGTTTAAGAGTCACAAAATCCAAAAGATAATCAACGCGGTTTCATTAAAATTATGGAGGAAATACTTTCTTGACTCAAGTGAAATGAAAACAAGCACTTAAACAATTGTTACTTGTTAATTTGAAGATCTATTACTTAAGCAAGAAATTAACCAACAAACATAATATTCATACATTTAAACTCATGATTAAAGATATATAAACATAAAGAGAAGTTTTTGTAGAAAATACTTCCATAGAGATTCAAACACAAGTTCTTGAAGTTCTTCAACATAACCAAACTTTCAAGTAACTACATCCAATTAAACCAAGATGAAATTAGCCTAACATGACTAAGTTTAAATAAAATAGAAAGAGTTTAGAAATACCAAACATTCAACAAGAATCTATATGAAAATATGATATGTTCCTCCAGTTCTTCCCACCATCAATAACTCAAAAAGTCCAGAGAAAAGTCTCCAAAATTTGATCTAAGAATGCCCTAAAAGTTCCTACCAAACCACCCTCAAATAGTTAGTAAACATAAAAATCTGAAAATGCCCCTGCAAAAGCCACACAGCCGCTTGAGCAATAGTGTAAAATCTCATGTGGCCTCGTGAGGTGTGATGATCGAGAATAGTTTGCTTGTATCCTTTTCCTCTTTGGTCGATTTTTGTCTTCTGGACTTGACTTTATTGAATGATTATAAGAGCCCATATACCACATCATTTAGCCCAAAATAAATGAATATAAGTCCAAAAACTCCATAGCCCAAATATCATCCAAACTCTTATCAATTTCTTAGCCCATGTAGTTCCATCTTCTAATCAACTAAGATCAAGTTTCTTCCACATAATCTTCAAAGTAAGATCCAGTGACATTAATATTCAATCCAACTCTCGTTCATAAGCCCCAACAATCTCGATCATCCGCTCGAACAACGTTTGTCTTCCGAATCTCCCTCTGTAACGCCCGCAGATTCGGGTTAGTCAACTTAGAGATAATAAGCGTTAAAAGTGATTTTTTGATAGAAGATTGTTTAGAGTAAATAATCTTAACCAAAGTATAGTATATGTCATACGGATTCCATACATATAAAGAACGTTGAATCCGACTTATAACGAAGAAATTATGACTCGTCGAAGTTTTGCGATTAAAGTGACACGGCTCCACGTATCGTAAAAAGTAAATATTTGATAAAATACTTTTTAGCCTTATAAATCTAAAATAAAGTCTTAGTAGACGTTAAACTAATAGCGTGAATATAGAGAACGTCCAAATCTAATTTCATTTGAGGAAGTTATGTTTTTTCTAAGATTCAGCATAACAGTATACAACCTGTAAAACGAATTTTAGATCGATCGAACATTAGCCGACACAACCTAAAACAGAATTGAAGATCTCATTAATAGGAGCTCAACGATATAAAGACAGTCGAAAACGGACATCGGATGACAAATTTATGAATTTTTAACGGACTTTAACTGTCTAAGCTTATTAAAATACAACTTTAAAAATAAATCACAATTAGTTGACGGAGTCTAAACAAAAGTTGTAGATCTCGTCGATACCTACACGTGGATATAATGAACGTTAAAAATGGAGCTCATATGCGATAGTTACGAATTTGAGAAGATAATTAATTTTCGGATTAACCAGCGAGTGATACGTGGCAAGATCTAGGTCACACCTTCTTCCCCACGGCTTGCCACCAGATTTCGACACGTGGAACATTACGCCCAGTGTAACGCTTAAAAATCCATTACACCCAGTGTAATTCTTGAGTACGCTCAACGTACTTAGGCGCTGACAGCTATAAATAGAGCTCACTTCTCACTCTTTTCTTCACACCTCTTCAACCAATTTTCTCCCAAACCTCCCAAGGTCCTAAGACCTTATCTCTAGCCATTCCTAGGAGTTAGTAGTGAGCCCCAGAGCGCCGGAAAGCCTCGAGAAGAAGACCTTTCGGCTCAGAAGTTCTGCTCGCGTAGAGCCCGATTTCTGGCTAAACCTGTAAGTTAATTTATGCTTACCATACATTAAGTATAACTTATGTTTAAGTTTATTATCGTTATTATGAACCTAGAAACAAGACTTATCAGTCATTCCAAGTCGTTATACTGATTGATCTACTTACGGGGATGATGTCTAGGCTGGATTTACTGAGGTGTTTAAAGTGGAATTTCCAAACAATATTGTTCGTATACCAAACGGACCCTACCTCCGATATGATCCTACCTGGTTGCTCCTTAATTGATAGATCTTGAAGTAGACTTTGAGTTAATGATGAATCTAGACTAATAATTAGTCGCAATAAATATTAGATTAAAACTTAGTGATAATGATAGTAGGTTTCGTCAAAAGAAAAGACAATTGCTAGAAGTGAAGCGCTGCCCGAATTTCGAATCGTCACTTTAACAAGTGAGTGCATAGTCCCTTTCATGAACATGATTTTAATACAAGTATTAATAAAAGTATTAAGTATATGTTGAAAGTTTATATGTGAGTTATATGCTTATTATCTGGAAATATGTGTTATATGTATATTTGATTATATACGCTATGTGAACCAGAAATGGGTCTATATGTGTTGAGATGTATTTTCATGATAATAATAATAGAAGTGTTATAAATGAGAAGATAAATGTATGTTAATACTTGATACTCTGTATAAAATATTACACTAAATTAGGATAGTGTTGTCGAAACAGAGTTGGTATTGAATGATGATTATAAGCGTTGTAGGTTTGCCTAGTGATAAAATAAGACTTAAAAGAGATGCTTAGTTCTATTAAATTTGGATATTGGGTAGCATCTTATTAAGGGTACGTGTGTGATCGGAATAGAGAGTAGAAAATCTGTTCGAGGAGATTGATGATCGATCGAGTATGTCCTACGTATAAAAGTACTTTCTATATACCAAATCTTTTTCAAAGCTCTTTATCTCAGGTGCTGCTTGTGTCGGGGTATTATTATGTTCTGGGGTACGGGTCCTACTCATACCAGGGTACTATAATGTGCCAGAAGTACTATCATGTATAAAGTCCTTTTTGACACTATTATGTGAAGGAGTACGGCAGTGTACGAAAGCACTTTATTAGTATTTCCCCTTACTTTTTCTTTTGATGAGCTTCGTGTGTCAGCGTTTCCTTTCACGAAGTAATTGAGGGAACTTCGTAGTTTTCCTAATAGAGTGCGTTGGTAATTAACCAATACTTGGTATGTCTGATGTTATATTGTCGGATAG